CATTCAGTAATTTTTTTTTTTTTTTTTGGTTTTTCGAGACAGGGTTTCTCTGTATAGCTTTGGAGCCTATCCTGGCACTCGCTCTATAGACCAGGCTGGCCTCAAACTCACAGAGATCCTGCCTCTGCCTCCCAAGTGCTGGGATTAAAGGTGTGTGCCACCGACGCCCAGCAATATTCTTAAATCATGGAAATCATAATTTTAGAAACCAAAAACTTCTTTTAAGTACTTCTTTCCTTTTATTTCATAGGTGAGAAGATTTTCAGGAAAATGAGTTTTATATTTTAGAATATAAAATGTGTCTCTAATTTTCTCTTCTTTTTCAGGCTACAGGAGCCAGACTTGCTGTCATTACCCAGAATATAGCAAATCTTGGGACAGGAATCATCATATCCCTAATCTATGGCTGGCAGTTGACACTTCTACTCTTAGCAATTGTCCCCATCATTGCAATAGCAGGAGTGGTTGAGATGAAAATGTTGTCTGGACAAGCACTAAAAGATAAGAAGGAGCTAGAAGGTTCTGGGAAGGTGAGTTAAACTAACTACAATTGTTAACTAAGTAGAAAAAACATTCTTTCCAGTGATGTTCTGTTACTCTCTTTTACTAACTGTGCTCTGACAAAACTGGTGTGTGTGTGTGTTGTATGAGTGTGTGTCAGCATGTGTATGAGTGTGTGTGTGTGTGTGTGTGTGTGTGTGTATTGTATGAGTGTGTGTCAGTATGTGTATGAGTGTGTTTGTGTGTTGTATGAGTGTGTGTCAGCATGTGTATGAGTGTGTGTCTGTGTGTTCCTGTGTGTGTGTGTTGTATGAGTGTGTGTCAGTATGTGTATGAGTGTGTGTGTGTGTGTGTGTGTTGTATGAGTGTGTGTATGTGTGTGTCTGTGTGTTCCTGTGGATGCACATTTATGTGCATGTTGTGTGGAGATCAGAGATCACCCTGGGTATTATTTCCCAGGTGTGGGCCACTTTGTGTTTTGAGATCTGTTTGAGATACAGTCTCTCCACCTATCCCTGCTCCTCCAGCATTAGGATTACAAAAATGTGCCACCATGCATAGTTGAGATGTATTACCTGAGTCCTAGAGGTCAGACTCAGGTCTTTGTGCTTGCAAGGTGAGTTATTTACCAACAGAGCCTTCTCTTCAGTCTATGACAATATTTTAATAGCCCCTTTTGGGGCAATATTTATTATACTTATCTCAAGATTAGAATTTGAAGAACAGTTAGAAGCATCCTTGCCTGTTTTTCAGGGGTTTGTTTGTTTGAAGCCATTGTCTTTGTCTTCCTCTCTTCTCATCCAGCCCTTTTCTTCTTTACTTCCTTTCTTTTCACCTCTTTCCTCTCTCTCTTAGTGTTTCTATTGCTTCGACGAAACACCCATCACCAAAGCAGTTTGGGGAGGAAAAGGTTTATTTTACTCAGAGTTCATCATCAAAAGCAACGAGGGCAGGAACGCAAACAGAACAGGACCCTGGAGACAAGAGCTGATGCAGAGGCCATGGAGGGGAGTTGCTTACTGTCTTGCTTCTTATGGCTTGCTCAGCCTTCTTGTTACTAATTAAGAAAATGCCCCACAAGCCTTCTTGCAGCCCAATCCTATGGAGGCATTTCTCAACTGAGGCTCCTTCCCTGACGACTGTAGCTCATGTCGTTGACATAAAACTAGCTAGCATGCTCGCCCAACATTCTATTCTTTGTCTTCCTTTCTACCAAGCTTAAAGCTATCCCTGTATTCAGGAAAGGGGGTGTATTTTAGTATGAAAGATTTGGGAGATTCAAAGTGGAAATGTCCAAAGTGTGTTTGTTCTCTCTGCTTTAGATTACTTAATCTAGTCAGTTTGGAATTACTCTGGTACCTCATACCAAATCTGGCCCCCACACTTGCTTTCTCTGCAAACAACACATATCCTTCATCACCCTTCTCTTTTCTCTTTATCATGCATCCTCCCTTTCTCTCATATATGTTTTCTTTCCCCTCATCCTGTCATTCTGCACACTCAGCTATTTTTTTTTCCTCATAGCTCAACAAAGAATTGTGTGGCATATATTTATTTGGTTCTCTGGAAAATGTTTTACTCCTTACACTGACTCTATCAGGTACATCCTGTTATTACCTCATTTTTCAAGTGAGGCTGAGGGACACACAGACTTACTCCCTTAGAGCCAGTCACTCCTGGAGCCAGAATTCAAATGCAGACAGTGGCACACCTATTAGCTTAAAATCCAAGTTGTGTTATGGTGGAGGAGCATAGTCAGATAGCACATGAACAGGGATGACCCCTGACATTCCAAGTACCAAGAAACAGAGAGGGATCCAGGCAGGTGAGAGCGCTGTGGTTTCCAGGCCAGGTGTCTGTTAGCCAGGCACCTCACTGGTGTGAAAGCTGAGGAAGGTCCCAGAGACATCAAAGACACTTTGTTTCTGGGCATGTTCTTAGATCGATTGCGCTGTTTTCATTGGTTCTTTCAGGGAAATGCTCTGGCTTTAGTATTTCCCAGCCAGGGTCTGTGAAGTTCACCCTCTGGTGAGGTCCCAGCAGACTGTTGTTGGGAACTCGCTAAGCCTGGGGTCTGGCTATGGTCTGATCCAAGTAATATTGGCCCTGAGCAAGGAATAAATACCATACCACACTTGACAATGTGCTTGTTTGGGATCCCAGAGCAGATCAGTGCCAGATCATATCCTGTCTTTGTGGTGTGGTGTCAGAACTTTCAGATAAACTCTTCTGTGCCTATGATCAGGGCTTTATATTGTTCTATTCCATTTTTATGAGATAATGAGCAGTTTGTGTAATATATGCATTTGTCTTTTTAATATAAATTCATGTCAAACTTCAGCTTATTTGGGGCAGAAAAAGAAGTATAAGTTTGCTTCTGAGAAACACATTTTCCTTTCTTGAGAACAAGTTGGTACACAGCCCCTCCAAAGGAAGCAGAGCTATTTATTCTTCTTTGAACTTAAACTTCCTTCTTGTTAGTAATGACTGGGTCTCTATTGAAGTTGTGAGGATATGGCTGCTACTTCAGGCATTTCCTAATTGCCTCATTGTGCATCAAGATGAGGGGATCACACTGTGAAGTGATTGTTGAGCTCACACTCTGCAAGCTCTTTCCCCCAGCCCTGAGGTTACAGGCAGGCATGACCATGGCAGGCTTTTGTGTGTGATAGCAATTCAAACTCAGATCCTCATGCCTGTAAAGCAAGCATCCCTATACACTGAGCCACTTTCCCAGCCATAGCTATAGCTTTTTAAATAATATTCTTACTGATCTAGAAAACCTCTTCTCTTTGTTGGAACCACTATAATCGAAAGGTTTCTAATATGTGTAAATGAAAATTGTCTTTGGGGAGTTTCATTGAATTTGACTATTTCCTTCAACTTCTTATCATCAGTACTTCCAGGATTTTCTAAAGTTGGTATATATTTTAGAAATGTGCAAAGTTTATAAAATATTTTATTCTTAATTACCTTTTTGATTGTTCTAGATCAGAGAAAAATATTTTAATTTTTAAAATAAGTGTTTTAAGAAAATCGTTCATTTTTTCTTCTAGTAGCTTTTTTGTTCTGGCCTTCAAAACTGGCTTAATTTGTTATGAAATATTTGTTGTTATCACCAAAGTAAGAAAATTTGTGTAAGATTCAGTGAGGCATAAATGAGAGTTCATACTTATGGCCTTTTTAAGTAGCAAATTGCATTAGGTTTCTAGAACCACCAAAAAGAGGGACACAGAACCTTAACCAGTGACTTCCATCTGGAGACATACAACTTTAAAGGACTTTAGAGACCTTCTGGTCCATCCCCTCCTCTCAGATCAGCTAATGAGAGGCCATGGTGGTTTAAGTACCACTGCTGGCGCAGGCAAAAAAATCCCTTCCGTGTGGCCTAAATGTTCCTGACATTCTCCACTTCCCTTTGCAAAGAATGCAAAGGGAGGTGACAGCTATATTGTCCTAACTAAATAGCCTTCCTTGATGACAGTAAATGCAATCAGAGCACAACTATTAGAAACTGTCTTGAAAAAAAATTAATTATCTCATGCTCATCAAAAGACAGCCAGGACAGCCAGGGCTGTAACACAGAGATACCCTGTACAAAAAACCAAAGCAAAACGAAACACAAAACCCCAACTCATTATTAATATATATTGAACGAGCTTAAAAACACTGTTGAAATTGGTTAGGCAAAATATAGAATTCAGTCTATATTTTGTTAAAGATGTGTGTGTTTAGAAAACATGTGTGAGCTATTTTATAAAACACATTAGTGTGTAATTATTGATCATCTTCATTATTCTCTGAATGTCTTTTAAACTTTATTGAGTTACCATGAGTGACAGTCACACAGAGAAAAAGTAATGGATAAATATCACATTTTCTAAAAAGTAACAATAAATGTTATTTAGATATCACCTTCACAGAAGACAGACTCCTTCGGGAGATGCCGTGCGCACGTGGCTTTAGTCGAGTGCTTCATGGTTTGGTGTCACAGCTTCTCTTTCTGTGTAGAGGACCAGACTAAATCAGCTGGTCTCTTAAGGAAGGAAAATTTAGTTTCATAAGTCACTACTCTCTTTCAATTGGAAGATAGCTATTGATAAAACTAAATGATACATAAATGATAAATTATAATGGCTAATGCTATTAATTGTAGAATTCAAGTTCATTTTTTGTGTTTGATTTTGTGCCTGGTAATGGGCGGGCTTTTACAGATTGCTACTGAAGCAATAGAGAACTTCCGCACTGTCGTCTCTTTGACTCGGGAGCAGAAGTTTGAAAATATGTATGCCCAGAGCTTGCAGATACCATACAGGTAAGAAGCCCTGAAGAGTGGACCAGGGCTCTGAGGAGTTTTCTAGTAAGGACTTCAGTTTTCAGGATTGCCTTTGCCTCATGGTAGAATGAACAGGAAGAAAGTACTAGAAGGAACACCTGAGACTGTCAAGAGAGAAATGAAGAGACCTGAGCATCCGGGAAGTAGAAGCAGTGACTGCTAGTGACAGTAAGGGGGAGACAAGAAGACAACTGTTAAGGTCTCTGGTGTCCAGTTGGGAAGAGACAAGAAGACAACTGTTAAGGTCTCTGGTGTCCAGTTGGGAAGAGACAAGAAGACAACTGTTAAGGTCTCTGGTGTCCAGTTGGGAAGAGACAAGAAGACAACTGTTAATGCCTCTGATGTCCAGTTGGAGGAGACAAAAGGACAACTGTTAAGGCCTCTGGTGTCCAGTAGGGATAATGGCCTTGCTGTTGGCTGGATTTGGGGTGAAGGCTCTCTATGGAACATGAAATTGGGGGTGTTGTGAGACACCAAGGGGATATCTCAAGGATACTTCCTGTTCCTTTCTTTCCTGGGAAGACCTTCTCTTCTCCCTGTACCCCAGCAGTATGGATGAGAGCTCTGAAAGGAAGGTGACCAGGACATGAGTAAGCCCAACTTTGGAGTTTCAGCTTCTAGATCTTTCTGAAGGGTTTCCAAGCACCTTTGTCATAATCATGGCAGGCCCTCTTTTTCTGGGAAAAAATCTTCATTTGAAATCCCAGGGAGTGGCATAGACAAGAAGAAAGTTGGTGGGTTAAACAGGAGTAGGAAGGTGAAAGGGCTGCCCCTCCCCACCCTGTTCCTGCTCAGGCCTCCCACCCAAGATCCTTGTTGTTGTTCAGACATCCCTGGAACGTTCGGGCTTTGCAAAGCCTCTCTGGCTGCAGACGCTTGAGTGCTTTTCTCCCCCACAGCATATTGCTCCTCTGCTACACTGATGACAGGCACCTCATCTAGATCCCCAAGTGCAAGGACATGCCTGCTGCCCTGTCACCCACAGCTTGAGGGTGTTGGGTAGATGTGTTGGGTTCAGTGATGGGGGAAAGAGAAGGGCCATTCATTTGTTAATGTAAAGCAGGCTCTTCTCAGGGTTACAGGCCTAGTTATCGACCCACTGAGTTGTAACAGTCCTACCTTAGAGATGAAGACACCACTGAGTCTCAGAGCTGAGGCAGTTTCCTAAGTTCACACAGCTAAGTTAAAGGGGCTCAAGCGGAGTTCTTTAGAAATGGAATCCATTGTATCCGTCACTCTTGGGTGCCCACTGCCAGCCCACAGTAAGTTACTTGAATGGCTGAGAAATGAAATGGGCTGAATGTGGTTTCTCTTCTTTCCAGAAATGCTCTGAAGAAAGCACACGTCTTTGGGATCACATTCTCCTTCACCCAGGCCATGATGTATTTTTCGTATGCTGCTTGTTTCCGGTTTGGTGCTTACTTGGTGGCACGGGAATTAATGACATTTGAAAATGTTCTATTGTAAGTATCGTATTCATAGTCATAATTTAAGCCTGGGGGTCAGTCGAGGACGAGAAAGTGTATGTTGAAGTGTCAGGAAGAGCATTTGGTGATTAAGAAAGCTGTGTTTTGCCTCTGAGTGTCTGTGTGGCACCACTGAGAGATACTCCACATTCCATCTTCTCCCTCTGTTGACTCCCACATATCTGACCATTCCAAATCTGTGCCTAGACATATAGATTCAGCTCAAGACCACGCCCTTGGAAGGAGGGCTCATGTTCAGCCAGGAAGTGAATGGCCCCTTTAAAAAGCTTTCCCACAGGGCAGCTCAGGGGGTGGGGGGTGATGTGCCAACTCCTACCAAACCTGAGGTATCAAAGGCAAAGAAGCACATATGTATGCACACTGACGCACATAGAAAGAGAGACAGAGACAAAGACAGAGTCAGAGACAGAGTGGGGGGGGAAGAGAACAGAGAAAGACTCCCCACAAATTGGGAAGGTTACTCAGAAACTGAAACCCTCCCCCCCTTTCTCCTAGAGGGCTGTCTTGTTGTTCAAGTGTTATGGGTGGCCTTGCATGAGTTCTTTTCAAGTCATTTCCGATTAGTCAGCTTAGACAAACAAAGGGTTACTGAGGCCAGCAGCTTTACATAAACATGTCAGGAGTAGCCTTGACCAAAGCTGACCAGCTTGCACTGCTCAGCTGGAAGGGTGCCCTGAGGGAGGAGAGAAGGAGAGCGGGACTTTTGTCTTGGGAAGGAGGGAAAGGGCAAACCCAGAAGCTTTTTTTATTATTTATCAGTAGCCCCTTTCCATATTTGTTTGCCTGTCAGGAGTTCCAGTTCCTCAGCAACTGAAGAAAGTTTTCAATGACAATGGAAGATCTAGATTAGAATTTTCCTTCCATGTCTCTGCAAACATTGAACATTATACTTTGGTCATGGGATGACAAGCCTGAGAGAAATCACATGACTGATGTCACCAAATAGGCATCTTGGTAGTCAAGATGATATGTGAACTTTCTGAGCTTCCATGTGGCAGCAGGCCATGCTAGGCCCTTCCCCTTAATAGTTCAATACGGCCAGTGCTCTTAGAGTTCGCATTGCACCCCAAACCAGATAAGCCTGGCATTAAAGAGTATTAAAACACCATTTGTGCCCTATTTAAGAATAGATTTAGTAGGTTATTCAAGATTCAAAATCTTCTAACATACATGTCTCACTGGGGGGCTGTATGGTTATGCCGAAACATCAAAGTCAGACACTCCTGGAACTGTGACATTAATTTGATCATGCTTTTACGTATTTTTTGTCTCCAGGATTTTTGAAGTTGCTGAAACTTTAGATTCCTGTGCCATAGGTTAATGCAGTGGCTTCTTGAATGTGGCATCACAGTCATGTATTTAAAAAACGTTTTCTTTATTGCGGGCTCACACGATTTCTAAGAATCGGTATCAGCAACACTGGCTGCGTGTGTTACTGATTGCTCCTGTTACACTGTGTAATGATCAGCAACTGAACTTCGGTGACATGGAACTTTTATTCTGCTTGAAGTATCTGAGTTGGGCATAGTGAACAATGTCTGTGGTGAGCTATAGGCTCATTGGCCAGAGTGAAGGAGAGAAAAATAAAGTAACAAAACATATGTTGAGTCATAGGCTTGATACTGGGAACAGTGATTTCCACCACATCCTGTCCATGAAACCATGTCACAAGGCCACCCCAGGTTCAAAAAGTGGAAAACAAATTTGTAATTCTTAGAAGGAAGTTTAAGCAAAGGTCGTGCTGTGAGAAGTTGAGGATAACAGGAAAGGTGAAAGGGGCCATTTTGCATGCTGAGGAGAACATGTAAGGAAAAGGGGTTTCAACTGTATAACCACAATTCCTCCTTGGTTACAGAGGGCCACACTGACAGCACTGTAGCTCTCACCGTCTACACATGCTTGTCTTTTCTTTTCCAGAGTATTCTCAGCTATTGTCTTTGGTGCCATGGCAGTTGGGCAGGTCAGTTCATTTGCTCCTGACTATGCCAAAGCCAAAGTGTCGGCATCGCATATCATCATGATCATTGAAAAAGTCCCTTCCATTGACAGCTACAGCACCGGAGGCCTGAAGCCTGTGAGTTTTCTTTCAGTGGGTGATAGACCCCTAACTCCTCACTGGAAAGACACGAAGAGGAAACTTAATAACAGTTGTGCTTTCATTTTAGAATTATATGCTGTTGCTAAGACCTAGATGAGCTGATCTGAATAAATGGTAATAGTGTATGTTAATAATCATTACTTTTATAAAACCAAGTTAGAAGGAGATAAGAATACTGCACAAGGTAGATGGAAATGCAATCCATTAGGCTTTCCTACATGTAGTTATTCCAGTCTGGGAGAGCACATTCATGTTGTATTGAGAATTCATGCTACAAAACCATTACCTCTTCAGATTTAAATCTAGAGATGAAATGAAGTTTAACTGTGATAGAAGCTCACTTCCAACACCTGCCACTAGGAGTCACCACTATACCCTGTGTTTTCAATATTGTGCTAATCAAGCTAAGTGTTGCTGTTCTCATTTTAGAATACATTGGAAGGAAATGTGAAATTTAATGAAGTCGTGTTCAACTACCCCACCCGGCCTGACATCCCAGTGCTTCAGGGGCTGAACCTGGAGGTGAAGAAGGGCCAGACGCTGGCCCTGGTGGGCAGCAGTGGCTGCGGGAAGAGCACAGTGGTCCAGCTGCTCGAGCGGTTCTACGACCCCATGGCCGGAACAGTGGTGAGCACGTTTTTTATACTCAGAACATTTGGGGGTTTTAATTATCCAGATAGCTGGGTGTGTTTAACCCTTGAACATAGGTCATGATTTTTTTTGAACCTTTAAGCAAGAGCCTCTGTTAGATAATGTGACAACCCAGATGTCCAATCCATGCCGACTGCACTAGCTAGTATACCCAGCTTTTCTCTGTACATCCTGCCCCTCTGTCCCCCTCTGTCCTCCGCTGCAAGCACCTTTTGGCCCTTGCCACTCTCCCTTGCCATGATGAGAGTTCAGCTGGCAAAGCCTGAAGTAGCCTGAAAGATAAAGAGAGTTGCAGGAGATGGAAATGAGATGAAAAGTCAAGGGGAGGATGCATATCATTGAAGAAGTGGTTTGCAAGGACACAGGCTGTGGAAAGATGAGGACTGAGAAGCCATGAGAGAACATGGCAATTCATGGGCTATTTCCACCACTCACTCTCAGTGCAAGCAGTTTAGCATGGCTGAAGATGGCTAGAGGGGCATATGGAAATTTAAGTGGGTGTGGAATATGAAGAAAATCTAGGGTAAAGAGGCAAGAAAGAACAGCAGCAGGGATGGGAGACACTTCAGGGAACTGGTGAAGAGGAGGCCAGGATAATACAATACTACTGATGCACAGAGGGTATCTTCCATGGCACAACAAAACAGACAGGACTCTCAAAGAAAGATGGACACATTTGGAGAGTGTATAAGAATACGGAGGGATGCCCTTTTGTTTTCTTAACTAAAGTGGTGAGGGAGCAATCAGGATTCCATATTCAGCAAAACTGAGAGCCTGTCAGAAACTCTCTTAGGTGTTTGGCATGAGAGAGAAATCTTGTAGGGAGTAATGAATTTTAATGATTATAATGAGAGAGCAAGAGGGGGAGGGGAGAGAGAGAGAAAGAGGGGACAGGGAGAAAAAAGCAGAATTCGGAGAAGGGAATTGTTATTGTGTTTGTATGTAGTTATGAGTACTTAGAACAGAACACAGCAGAAGCATTAGCAATGGCCCATTACTCCAGGGGCCTTGGCAACAGCAGCAGTGACTGAAATGAAGAGAAGAGAATTTACCACCTGCTGTCTGCTGTCCATGATTTAAAAAAAAAAAAAAAAAAAAACCTCCCCACAAACTATTGAATTTTTCTTTTTTTCTTTTGGTTTTTCGAGAGAGGGTTTCTTTGTTTGACAGCCCTAGTTGTCCTGGACCTCTCTTTGTAGACCAGGATGGACTCTTTTCTGTTATCCAAAACCAATTATGATGGGGAGGAAGGTCTGTAGAAGCCAGAGGGTTCAAGGACGTCACAAGAAAATTCACAGAATCAACTAACCTGGGCTCATGGGGGCTCACAGAGACTGAACCAACAACCAGGGAGCCTGCATGGACTGACCTAGGCTCTCTGCATATATGTGACAGTTGGGTAGCTTTGTCTTCTTGTAGGACTCCTAACTGTGGAAGCAGAGGTTGTCCCTGACTCTGTAACCTGCTTTTGGGACCCTTTCCTCATACTGGATTGCCTCATGCAGCGTTAATAGGAGAGGAGGTGCCAAGTCTCACTATAACTTGATATGCCATGGCTTGTTGATGGTCCCTGGAAGGCCTGCCCTTTTCTGAAGAGAAACAGAGGAGGAATGGATAAGTGTGTGTGGTGTGTGTGTGTGGTCAGCTTATAAAAACAAAATAAATAAACACACACACATACACACACACACACACACACACACACACACACACACACACACACACACATACACACACCAGTTATGACCTTACTGCATCAATTCTTTACAGTTATGAGCTCTGTTACCTTACTGCCCTTTAAAAAACTATTTTCTGAGAGTTCTGATTTTGTGTTTCAGTTTTATCACTGAAGTTTGAACACAGGACTAAATAATGTTATTACTGCACTCAAAATTAGTGAAATGTTGGTTCTCAAGCTCTGATTAAATTCTCAATAAATATGAATAAACCATTTTATTATATATATTATTAAATATTTTATAAAAGAGTTGTAAGGTCCAGATATTGGTAGTTTATGTCTGTAATCTTAGTATTTGGGAGGCTAAGAAAGGAAAATTCCCATGGAGTCAAGGCTAGCCTGAGTTACAATGTGAATTCCAGGCCAGTGTGGGCTACAGAGTGAGACCTTATCTCACTCTGTAGAGTTGTAGAGGTAGTGATAGACAAAACAAAGTAAAGTACATTGATTGAGACATATTCATGAAAATATAATAATCAATCCATTATTTTATATGTCAACTAAAAAATCAACCAGAAAGCCTTTTCCTTAATCTCACAGCAACCCAAGAATTTTATACTATGAAATAATGGCAGCAATTTTGCTAAAATCTGAATCATGCTGGTGCTGAAGTTGATCTGTGAACCTTTGCTCCCAGTTTCTAGATGGCAAAGAAGTAAACCAACTAAATGTCCAGTGGCTCCGAGCACACCTAGGCATTGTGTCCCAAGAGCCCATCCTGTTTGACTGCAGCATCGCTGAGAACATCGCTTATGGAGACAACAGCCGGGTCGTGTCCCAGGATGAGATCGAGAGGGCGGCGAAGGAAGCCAACATCCACCAGTTCATTGAGTCACTGCCTGACGTATGTACCATGGGCCTGGTAGCTAGCAGCTCCTTTCACAAATCTTTGATGCTCCCCATCCCCATTCTGGGGATGAAACCCATGGCATTACACAAAACAGGCAAGTGTTCTACCACTGAGCTATACCCTAGGCCTGTCATCAGAAACCTGAAAGTCTGATAAAGAGAAATTAGCAACCAGAATATATCTTACCAGCAGAGAGGCATCCATCCATACTTCTTATCTGAGTTAGAGGTTATGTTTGCCCAATCCCTTACCTGTCATTGTGAGGAAGGAACAGAATATTAGACATATTCAAGTAGAAGAAGCAGGAACTTTGAGGACTGGAACAGCCCTTTAGTATGTTAGCTAAAGGATCCACCTGTTTCCAGCCTGAGGATACATCTGAGCATCACAGCCCAGGTGAAGGGTAGACAGGCAGCCTCTAGTCTCCATGGAGGCTGCACTGCTTCTGCAAAGGAAATAGGCACGATAGGTCTGTGGCTCCCTTGGGTGATCCAAGTGTCACTATGGAGTTAGGCCAGACAAGAGACCCCCTGCTCACGCCAGAAAGAAAGTTCTCCTAATAGAACTGAGTCACTAGGATGGCTATGGCATTATATAATCTAGAATTGCTGTACCATCCATTGCAGGCTCCTTAGCCACAGTCTTAAAGTTGACTATCAAAGTCTCCCCTGGGCTATTGTTCTATGGGCTTCTCTCACTGCTTCCTGTAAGTTAGATCAATTGAGCCTCTCACCTTCTTGTGTCTTAGGTTTATTTAATTTTTTAAATATGCATCTTACATAAATAGCATACACTCTCCCCTCATCACTAGTTATGTTCATTAGTACAGGAAGTGCTCATGATAAAACCAGCCAGGTAAGCATGAACACCAGGTGGCCCAAACAATCCTCTAAGACTCCCTTTTCCTTTGGCCTTTTCACAAATGACTGCTATTATCAAAGGTATTATCTCAGTATGGTCCAACCACAAATTATTAACTTTTTGAGACTCAAATGTTCAAAGTACAAAACCCTGGTCACCCTTTACTAATGAGAGTCACTGACTCTCAAAACCTGAATGTGGGTCGATAGCACCTTGGAAGTCGTTAGAAGTACAAATTATTATGCCCCACCCTATCTCTGGTAAAGAAGAATCATTTGGGAGTAGGGTCCAGGGCTCTGAGACTTAAAAAGCCTAGATGATGCTGATGTAGGATACAACACAAAACCACGATAACAATAGTCTCTTAGAGTTTTGTCCTCTGGCATTTGACTACCATAAGGACTTCGATCTCTCTGGACTTCGATCTCTCTGTTACTCAGAGCACCTCTGTGGGCATCATGATTCTTATTCTCAGTGTTCTAGACCAACCCTGTTCTCTAAGCACCCCCTTGTGAGTGATCAGACCTAGAAATTGGCTTACTCTGCCAAGTACTGTTTTCTCCTTCTTATGGAGTTAACAGCACTGTCCGCATGGACCCCACAAGGGTTACGGCTGGATTCTGCAGTCTGACACCTCTGCACTCAAACAGGGAGGAACACATCAGAGTGCCTGAATTCTAAGGCAGATACAGCTCGGAGGTAGAACCTCTATAAAGCATCTTCCCAGACCATACCAGGGGCCTTCTCCCCAGAGGCTGGAGAGATCATTCAGTCACTGAAGTGCTTGCAGTGCAACCCTCGGCCAGGAGTTTAATACCCAGCACCCAGGCAAAGAGCAGGATAGGGTACATGCTTGTAATTCCAGCCCTGCGGAGGCACATTCAGAAGGATGGTCAGACTTCATGTCCAGCCAGCATGGCTTAATCAGTGAGCCCTAGATCCCAGTGAGAAGCCCTGTCTCAAGAAGAAAGTGCACAGCTTTCAAGGAACACAGCATGCACACGCATGCTAAAAACATACACACACATACACTTACACACACACACAAACACATACATACATACATACACACACACCGCCAACAACAAAAAGGAGTATACACATATAAAACATGGATTTAACTGCTGTCAAAATTCAGGTTTAAAAATCAGAGCCCACATTTTGGCTATAATCTCAGCATGTTAAGAACTCAAATACAGGATCATAATGTTTCCTAGTTGTATATGATGCCATATCCTATGCACAGTCTCTAACCACTGTCTCTCGTGCCATACTGACTAGTTAGTGATAGCTTCCTACTGTGGGAAACAGTACAGGAAGAATTTTAAATGGAATGTAAAACCAAAAGTTTCTGAGGAATACTTGACTTTTCAAGGCTAAGTATTAAAGTACAATTCCAAGACTTCCTTGAGAGCCATAGTGACACCCTAGTAAAGGAGGCAGGGTTAACACGATGGCTTGGGAAGGAAAGGCACTTGTTGCCAAGTTTGACAACCTGAGTTTGATCCCCACAAGAGGATCTAACCATTACAAGTTGTCCTGTGATCCTTCTTCAATACAAAAAAATGTAAAAACACAAGAAAAATAATAGAGGTATTAAGTCCACCAAACTTTTTTGTTGTTGTTTTCTTATATGAACCCACTTTAACTTGTAGGCCTAAATTTTTCTAGTTATTTTTATATATTATATAATATGTATATTATATAATATATATGAGTGAGCCATATATTTGGTTTTCATACTTGGATTTTGACTGTTAAATCCATGTTTTATAGTATATATTATATATATTAGAAAATTATATATTCTGTGGTCATGTTGTGTTTGCACTTTGTCATCAGCTCTATTTTAAAACAACAAAATTCTGTTCACAGAAATACAACACCAGAGTAGGAGACAAAGGGACTCAGCTGTCGGGTGGGCAGAAACAACGCATCGCCATAGCACGCGCCCTCGTCAGACAGCCTCACATTTTGCTCCTGGATGAAGCAACATCAGCCCTGGATACAGAGAGTGAAAAGGTAAGGATGTAAGGTGGTGTCTTTCTCTGCCAGGGTAGAGAACACTAAGTCAGATAGCTGAATGTTGCCCTGTTGGCTCCCAGTGGAGTTTAAACGTGTCTATAGTTGGGACGTAGGAGACCTGAGGTGATGAGAGGCAAATTAGTCTTGAACCCCACATGTTCCATGATGTCTATCTACAAGCTGCATGCTGGCAGCAGTCTGCTCCTGCAGGCGGGGTCTCTGCAGCAGCCTGTGAAGAGCTGAAGGGAGACAAGGCTGAAGTCTGGCCATGCCCTAAGACACATGCTGCTGGTGCCTTTCAGCCTGAGAAAGGTTACAAGTTTGGCTGTCTGAAAGGCAGATGGTCAGGGGATCTTTCTACTGCTGTGATGGCTTTGGCATAATCATTTAAATTGCTCCAGCTTCCTGATGCTCTGTGGAGCTGCCTAGAGGACTGCTTTAGGGATGTTATGTGGCAAGGCCATGAGTGTTATAAATGGTCGGATGGATGCTATTGGCTGCCTTTACCTTATATGTCTCAGAACTCATCCAAACTGGGGTCCACTTCTCTTCTGGTAGGACTGATACCTTGATTTCAATTTCTGTCTCATTTTACCACCAACACCACTGTCAAAGGGCAGAGTGTAGAAATCCTGGGGCTTGTTATGAAAGGGACTATAGGGAGAGGACTGCTTTTACCTTAAATCTTTTGTGTGCCTGTGAAACAGGTTGTCCAGGAAGCTCTGGACAAAGCCAGAGAAGGCCGCACCTGCATTGTGATCGCTCACCGCCTGTCCACCATCCAGAACGCAGACTTGATCGTGGTGATTCAGAATGGCAAGGTCAAGGAGCATGGCACCCACCAGCAGCTGCTGGCACAGAAAGGCATCTATTTCTCCATGGTCAGTGTGCAGGCTGGAGCAAAGCGCTAGTGAACTGTGTTAAATATTTTTTTAATATTTGTATTAACACATAGCATTTAACCAAAGTTAAAAAGAAAGTACGTACCAGAATAACCAGTTATCTATTTCCTGTCATTATGAGAAGCATTTAGTCCAGTTTAGAGTTTTCAGAGACTTTGTAATTAAAGGGACAGAAATAGATATATCATCAAATGGAAAGGAATCATTTAAATTGCACTATAAAATTATACAAGAATTAAAAGTAAATGTTTCATAATATATACTTTTATTTATACTTTCTCATTTGTAACTATAACTGATTTCCTTGCTAAACAAATCATGTGTGTATCAAAAATTAATGAAATGTTTGTATAAAGTATATATAGTGAAACTAAACATTGATGTTCTTTGAGTTATCTTGTCCAAAATGCATGTGAAATGATATATTCTACCACCTGGAATATTGTAGATGAGTTTAGCTTTTAAGAAATAGTCTATTGCCAGGCGGTGGTGGCGCATGCCTTTAATCCCAGCACTTGGGAGGCAGAGGCAGGCTGATCTCTGTGAGTTCAAGACCAGCCTGGTCTACAAGAGCTAGTTCCAGATCAGGCTCCAAAGCCACAGAGGAACCCTGTCTCAAAACACACACACACACACAAAAATAAAAACAAAAAAGAAATAGTCTATTATTGGGGGGGTGTCACTCTGTGTGTGAAGTGACAGATGCACAAACATGAGTGCCTGAGTTCAGATCCCTAGCACCTACATAAGCAGCAAGATGTGGTGGCATCCATTTGTAATGCCAGTGCTAGAGGCACAAACAGGCAGATACTGCAGGCTCAGTGGCCAACCAGACTGGCCAAAATAGGGAGCTCCAGGTTCAGTGAGAGGCCTTGCCTCAAAAATAAGAGGGAGAAGCAAATGAGGACATCTTGATATCAATGTCTGGTTCCTACACTCCTGTGTGTGCAAATATACACACATGTACACTCATGCAAACACCATATACATGCATACATATGTACAGACTACAATCAGACACACACACACACACACACACACACGCGCGCGCGCGCGCGCGCGCGCGCATGCACGCTATTAGAAGAGATAAAATAAGAAAGGAAGAAGACGTGCCCATAAAATCCATCAATACTGTTTCCATCAGCTTTGCCCAGAGAAGGTTTTCTTTGCAGTGGCCGGTGGTGACTGCAGACTCATAACGAACTAAACTACTGAGAGTAAGTGACTGTTGAATGGGCAGCCATAAATGAGATATCTGTATCACTCCCTCAAAAGCTCAGGGAACCTTATAGAAAAGGGGGCAGAAAGAATGTAAGAGCCATAGAAAGGAGTAGGGAGAGGTATAGAATCTGGACTTAGAGGAATAACAGGGCTGCTACATTCTTGAACTCATAGTAGCTATGATTCCCTGCACAAGATCTGCGTACGACTGGACCTATCAACACACTGGCATCAGAGGGAAAGGGGCTTATGAGGCTCCATACTGCTCAAAGGATTTGTGTGCAGTTGGTGGTTGGCTGGAAAGAGAAAGATTTTCTTCAGTGGTCTAATCACTGGTAAGTGCCCATCCATGAACCAATAAACAGGCCCTCACCTTTGTTTCTGTAAACAACCCCAATGGAACTTAAGTCTCTCTCTCTCTCTCTCTCTCTCTCTCTCTCTCTCTCTCTTCACCTCCGACTGGATTTCTGTCCAAGTCAACATTCCCTCCTAGATAGTTCATTAAAGGAGAACAAGCCAAGAAGATGAAGGGGATTAACATGAGTGGGAATGGGACAATTGAGGGTACCTGGATGAATATGATTGAACGATGTTATGACCATGTATGAAACCATCATAGGGAAACTCACTATTATGTGTACTTAATACAATAAAATATTTTAAAAGGAAAAAAGAAAGTATCTGTAATTGTAAACAAGAGATCTTATAATTAAAAGACCCTAAAGACTCTACTGGTAAATGCTTAGATATGATAAGTACTTTCAGTGATCAGTAGCTTTTCTGTACACCAATAAGGAACATGCTGAGAAAAATCAAGGAAACAGTCTTATTTACAACAGTCTAAAAATAAATCAGTAAGTAGAATGTAATACCTAAGAATAGCCCTAGTCAAGGAAGCAAAATACCTCTATACTGAAAACTCTGAAACAGTGAAGAAAGTTCCTGAAGAAAATACTAGAAGAATACAGACATGCCATGTGCACAGATCCTCGGAGCTCATGTAGTGAAGATGGCTGTCTTACCAAAAGTGACCCAGAGATTTAATGCAATCCAGTAATAAATTCCATGAAATTCTTCATGGAACCATGAAAATTAGTCCTAAAGCTCATATGGAAACCCAGAGATCCTAAATAACCAAAAACAGTATTGAGCAGAAATAACAATGCTCATTTGAAGTCATAGTATAGAAAAATACTAACAAAACAGCACATGTTGGTGCAGACACAGGCATGTGAATCAATGGAAATAAACTCTTTCAAGTACCCTATGTGACTTTTCATATAGGTGTCAAAAATCTCAAGTTAGGCAAAAGACAGTCTCTCTTGTAATTGGTTCCCAGAGAACTGGATTCCAACAGGTATAATGACAGTGGATTGATCTCCAATGCTCTGTATCAAAGTAATTTAAAACACATTAAAGGCTTGAATGTAAAACCTGAGACTTTGAAATTACGAGAGGAAGATATACATAAAACACTTCAAGATATAAGCATAGGACATGGTGAAGTGGACAGATAATTATAAGAATTGATAAATGGGATTGCATGGAATTATATTTTCTTCACAGTAAAATATATACTCAAACAAAGTGACAATACATCCTACAGGATGAGTAAACACTCTTTTCCAAGCAGTCATCTGACAAATGATTAGTATCTATTAAGAACTACATTGTTAAAATTTATGAAGAACACAAAATTATACACAAAAGAGTCAGGAAATAGGTATACAAAATAAGCAATTCTCAAAAGAAGTACAAATGGCCAGTAAATACAAAATATTCAACATATATAAAACTCATACATAAGCTCAAAAGACATGAAATAACCATAATGATCTTGAACAAAAATAATAAAGTTGGAAGAATTACAATAATTGACTACAAGGGATATTACAGAACCACAGCAACAAAAACAACAAGGTACTAACATAAAAACAAGCACACAGATCATTGGAGCAGAAAAGAGGTCTCAGGAATAAATCCAGCCAACTGACCCTAAGCAAAGTGTGAAAAACATACATGAGAGAAAAGGAAGGCTCTTCAGCAAGCGCATCTGTAAAAACTGAATACCTACACATATCAAAATCAATTCTGAGTAGGTAAAAGACTATTTCATATAACAAAATACCTCAAAACTTTGAATCTACTTGAAGAAAGCATAGGGGAAGCACTTTGAGATGTGGACACAGACAACAACTTCCTGGATGTGATGCCAGTAGCTCAGGAAATAAACATAAGCTTAAACAAATACTATTATAGCCAATTTAAAAGCTCTTGCAAAGCAAAAGAAAAAATAGCCTAATGAAGTGGCAATGTTTGACAGGTGGTTACTAATCCAGATAGTATACATCACTAAAAAGCAACGACAAACCAAGTAATCCAATTTCAAAATTGACAAATGATCTAAATAAATATTTCTCAAAAAATGTGGCAAGACTCCTATCCCCACTGCTAGTATGTATGGGACTGTCTTTCTGTGTTTGTCCTTGATATGATTTATAGGTTTTGCAGTAGTGGGAGGACTGTTGACTGCTTTTATTTCTTGCACACACAGCACCTTCAGAAACAATGAGTGCTAGCCTCTACAACTAGTCAAAATGCAGAAAACAATTGACTGTGGGCTGCGCCAGTCCAAATGATACATCTCCAACACACAACTTAAGCTCAGGGGACATCATGGTCAAGGGAAAGAAAGATTGCAAGAGACACAGACTTGTGCTATGAAGTCTGCTATGAGACTTTATCTTCTATATATGACAGAGAAGGTACACCCATAAAACCTCAACATTAAACAAAACCTGTACAATGACGTGCTTTGACATACCAACATGGATGGGAGAAATCTCCCATGGCCCTACTTCTAGATGAAGAGCTACAGGCAATTAATGGAAGCAGGGAGAGGTAGAACCAGTCTGCTCCAGCAATAAAACCCCAATAGGTTATCCAACCCCAAGCATTCAGCTCTAACACATACAAAAACAGACAAGTACCACAAAATGGACTCAGCAGGCTATATTCATATATACATATGCACGTATGTGTATACATTTATACAATAATTAAAATGAAGAAGTCAAGAAGGGGGTATGTGGGAGGATTTGGAGGATGGGAAGGAAGAGGAAATGACATATGATACTCATGTCTAAAAAATAATTATAAAACTTAAAAAGAAGAATGATATGACCTTATTTTCTGGAAAACGAATGGACCATACTCAGAACATGTTTCCTCTCAACTGCTGAAAATATGGGGGAGATGATACAGAGGCAATGAGAGGGAAAGAGGGGTCTGAAAAGAGGGAGAGAGGACAACGAGATAAGATAAGGGGCAAAAAGAAAAAAAACATGCATAGGATGTGTTCTCTCATATGTAGATGTGTAAAAGCTGAGGGGGCTCCTTGTGTGGTGAAAAGAAGAACACGTGTGAAGCACAATAATGCATGTATGAAATATCACAATGAAGCCCATCACTCTTTAACTCAACTAAACTAATAAAAGTAAAAGGGGAAATGGCTGATGACTTCTAGATGAAAAATGGTGACCGTCCTCAATCCATCAGGGCAGTATAAGTGGAAACCACACCGTGACTCCACCTCGCCCAAGTTCAAACAGCTTTCGTTTGAAATAGCCATAAAATAACAGTAAGAATAGTAGATGCTGTCAAGGATATGGAGAGTAATAAACCTTTATA